CGCCTAAGAAATGAGGAATAATCAGAAGGCAAAAAAATTACTCCTAAAAGGAGCACATCAACATTCGGTAACCGGAGCTAAGACATGTGTGACAGTTTCTTTCGAATCCAGAATGCTCCAGAGCCCAAGTCGAGGCAAAGCAGAAAAAATTTTGGAGCTCGAGCCGGAATTTTCGAAAATGCCGAGTCGGTGTCGGAAATTCTAAAAACGCGGAACTGGAATCAAAGTTGGGTCAATTTTTGTTTTTAAACTAGGTATCACTGACGATAATTTAATCAAAAATAACTTATTCATATGTTTTTATGGCCTCTAACGACTCTTTCTCAGAATCAGCAATGAAATAATAAGCACTCAGATGCACTGTGATAAAGACAAAAATGCTAAATTTGTGTCTTGCAGTGAGGTTCAATTATGTGATGGGAAAAGGTAATTGTGCTGAAATACTGACATCATTTGCGATGTAATTTTTGAACGGTATGAATTCGATGAAGTGAAAGTACACTATGAGTGGGATAACTGAAAGAAAACAAAAGAATCAACTGGTAGAACTTCGAGCATCTAATGAAGTGACGTTATTTCTGTGGATTTACAACGTAAACAATCGATCTTCGTCGTTCTCACATCGTCCATCTAACATATGGTAACAGCAGCTTATCCTCATTTATTAGCACTAACTGATCCTCAACATATCCTACGTTCTCTAAAGATTATTTTCTTTTTCCTTTCCTTTTTTTCGTTCAAAAACACTCTCTGTCGTTAATTACCTCACTACTTGTCGCAACGCTTTTTCAGTCAACTTTACTCGAAGATCTTTGTGTTCGTTCTCTTGGTCCCTATGCACCCAGTCTCGAATATTACGCCATAATAACGTGTTCGTTGTCTGACATCTTTTGATTAAGCCGGCTGATAATATTTCGTTCAGCAGTTAATATCACTGCTTTTAACTTTTCAACAGCAACTAATTTTTATGTTCGTCTGTTCTAGTATCTATTTTACTCTAACCTGTGTGGTACTAGTGTCTGACTGATTCATAAGCAATGGTCGAAACTATATAGAGAGCAGCTCACCGCTAATCGCCTCACAAATTTGCTCGCTTCTATTCCATGGATTGGCATGGTGATAGGCGCTTTTGAACCAATGCTAATTCATTTCGCATCTTCACTTATGGGCTTCATCAATCTGTTACATATATTTCGAATATCCAATCATTTATTCCATTTGATCCTATACCTAATATTTCTTTCCATTCTTCTCAGCAATTCGAATTCGTTTCATAAATTCGCCTTCATTCGAATAAATATTGGCTAGAGAATTTGAGAGTCTGCTATTTTAACTAAGACTACAGTGCAATATTCTTGAATTCATAGTATCTTCTAAGTATGAAGTTTCATTAGAGCCGCAAATCAAAAAGCTTAAGAGTGCAGTATTTAACGTTCTCATACAGAAATCGAATATTATTGGAGCAATATTCATTCGTCTCTCAGTTAAATTATTCTCCACGAAGAAGGAAGTTGAAACGCCGAACTCATACGAGCTTAGCTGAAGATTATTTGAGTTGTGTACGCGTGCCTAAGTTGTTGATGCTACAGAGATTCAGTCATGCATTTTTCAATCATGCATTTGTTGTGTCTCGGTCACGGGTGTCAGTCGTTCCGTGCACGAAGAACACAGAGCCAACNAACAATCATTGTCCGTTTCATCCGTCGTCACTGATTCATTCTCTCAGTCCATTCTTTCCAAACAATTCCGAAGTTTCATCGCATTTTTCTTCTATTCATCGAGAAAATTTAAATTTTCTTCCTCCCCTTTTCCTTCCGATTCTTTCCGTTTGTTTCTCTCCGTTCCTTCCGACATTTCATGTAGACGAGTTTATCCTTCCACTGTGATTGTTTTTCTAAAATTTATTGTCCATTGAGATGCAAATTTACATATGCAAATTTACTTATCGCCATGCAAGCATTGTGACGTAGATTTGAGAAATTCTCAAATGGTTTGCATTTGCAACATTTAATTCTTATTCTCACAGTGGTTCTTTCTCCTCATTATCATTTGAAAATTATCTGCAGTTTATGATTGGTCGAATTTGGTAAGTTTGACCGTTGAATGACAGTTCAGCCCATTTTTTTCAGAAAATTATCTTCAAACCAAGCAGTCAATTTCGCCTTTTTTTCAGAAATCAGTGTATCTACTAACAATAGTAGTAATGACTTACCACCACTATACCAATAAGAACGAAGAATAGGTGATATGATATCATCTTGGGATTGTGAGCACTGATCAGAAACAGGTGATCGGAATCGACAGAAAATGAGATGATCAACAAGAGTATTGGTACAGACATGTAGTANTGCTATAGATCATTGCATTTAGTCTGAAATAGAGAAGGTTGCTGCCCTGCATTGAGATTTGTTCTGATCGAGAGTCATTTCGACGCAGAGAGAATGCAGAAACTGGATGACGGCCATTGCGGTTGTTGATTTTTGATCAGGATTGCATTGCTGGCATAAACAAATAACAAGTATTCAATAGACATATTGAAGCGAATGACTGAATTATAATATCGTTCACATACGAGCATAGAGACAGTTATTCGTTGTAGCTGTGCTGAGTGCTTGTGTTTTTGAGAGCTGCTGTGGTTTGGAATTATTTTGAGTATTTCTTGCAAAGGTTCTATTCATTCAAATCAGCAACCGACGTCTCACAACATATTTGAGAATCGGTACCATTCGTTCATACATTAGCATCATTGTCATCAAAAATCTATCTGGTCCAAGATGTTAGCGCATTCGAACATTGCTCTAATCGGTCGTCAACTCATTCGTGGTATGTGCGCTGTTTTTTCTTTGGATTCAAGCGTTCATCTTCGATTTCATAAAGTGAACATTTTTCGAGACAATCGTTGAACTAATCGTAAGATAGACAAAAATATTATCTTTTTAAAACACTTTGTGTTTTGAATAGCACTTGACAATGATTAACGACAGCAGTAAAATTATTTTATTGAAGCAAAACATCAGTTTCATTTTATCGTCTCATTTAATCATCAGTATAGACAACAGTTTTGTTATTGTCTCATTCATCGCATTAATGAATTCAATTCCATATTAAAGCACTTTATTCATATGGATTGTTCAAATGTTTATAATCACGTAAAAGAGTGGGTTATCTTATAATTATCTATTTCAGTCAGAACATTTCATTCATTTATATTTACATCCTCCCGAAGACAAAACATCAGCTGCACGTTTTTCACTTCTTATCTCAACATTCTCGCTTCTAAATATCTACGTAAAATGTCTGTCTCATTTTTTTGTTTGAATCTTGATAAATCGTTTGATAGCAACATACGAATAATTGTCTGTATCAATTTGAACGACTCATAGAACATTTCATTCATTTATATTTACATCCTCTCTAAGACAAAACATGAGCTGCACGTTTTTCACTTCTTATCTCAATATTCATTTATATTTACATCCTCTCTAAGACAAAACACGAGCTGCACGTTTTTCACTTCTTATCTCAACATTCTCGCTTCTCATTATGCACGTAAAATGTCTGTCTCTTTTTTTGTTTGAATTGTACGAAATCGTTTGATAACAACAAACGAATCGTTCTGGTAATGCTTCCATTTTTTCAAACATACCGAAAATCTCACATTTTTCTGATCGAATTCAGGTTTGAACAAGATGCCGATGAGCAATTTCCATGTTCGTTTGCCGCTCGCAAGAACGGTTGTCGATCAGTTCATGGGCCTCAAACCCCATCCAACCAAATGCTTGGTTCGTTGCTTCGTTGTCGGTTCATTCATCAGATTATGTTTGATAGAAAGAAAGATTAAGGTGGCGTTAAAAGATAAGGCAAATTGGGGAAAAACAAACTAGCAGCATTGCAACCGAGGATTCCAAAGAGGAATAGCGTGAAACCTAGAATAAGGTGGAAGAATCCGATTTAAAACCTTAATGCAGAAAGTGAGTATCGTTGACTGTCGTGATACTTCCACAGTTAAAGGGGCTCTTTTATGAAGATTGATAAATCAAATGGATACGGTTTTTGTTCTATCAATTGATATCCCATTCCAGTGAAATGTACTTCTTTGAATAACTACCTTTTAACATTTCTGTTTCCTGAGAATATGAGTAAATTTACGTTTGGATAGCAAATGAATATTTTCAAAACGTATGACCGAAAAATATCGAATTCTTAATGTCACCAAAGGAACTGATATTATCATAAATGTGCCTGTCTAACGTAACACAATAAATCATAAATGCTGTATTTGTAAATACATAGCAATTAATGTCTTCAACATGCATTACACGTGAATGTTTCATGCAGTTGACTGCACACCATTACCGGCACTTTAAACTTTTGTCTAAAATCTCCGACTTTAACAGTCATTTAATAGTAAACGCAATCAATGCGAAGATTCAGCTGCAGCCGAACAGAATATGATAGAACAACAAAGGATGTTGCACTAATGGAGACTTTTACTGATTACAGGCGACATACATTTGGATCGATGGAACTGGTGAATATTTGCGATCGAAGACACGTACTCTTAATGAGGCACCGAAGGATATTTCACGTGAGTTGCATCTTTCGAAACATGTGAATCTAATAGTTCATTGCATTAATTACTTTCTTTGTACGCTGTCAGCAGCACGTAAAACTTATGAACGTTGTTTTCTATCCAAAATGAATTTACTTACGTCTTCGTTCAATTCTATCACTCAAAAGTCAGCGCAAAACACCAATCGAGAGCGTTCAAAGTGCGTTTTCCAACATTACGTTATTAATGCCAGTTCAATTTTCATATTCGATTTTATTCTGACAATGAGTTTTTTCGAAATATTACTTTAGTTTTATAACTTCGAATTTCGATTGCAAATTTCAGCTTTAATTTTAAAGATCGCGTTCGTGGTATCATTCAAACTTACAAGCGTTTCGTAACCAACTAGTGGCTGTCTCAATGAGATTGCATTTTGACAACAACAAAAAAATTTAAGAATACCCGATATGGAACTACGATGGTTCATCAACTGGACAGGCTGAAGGCCGTGACTCTGACACTCATCTGAAGCCGGTGGCGCAATACCCGGATCCATTCCTCGGAGGACAGAGTCGATTGGTTTTGTGCGAGACGTACAATCATAAAATGGAGCCGACCAAGACGAACCACCGATTCAAGTGTAATCAAATAATGAGCAAACATCTAAAGGAGAAGATTTGGCTTGGAATGGAACAGGAGTACTTGCTGCTTGATCGTGACCAGTACCCACTCGGATGGCCAAAACATGGTTTCCCTGAGCCACAAGGAAAGTACTACTGTAGTGTTGGTGCCGATCGGGTGTTTGGTCGTGAAATCATCGACGTGCACTATCTGGCTTGCTTACATGCTGGCCTTCAATTGTTTGGCACTAATGCTGGTTTGTTTTTATTTAAATCAAAATCACTTTGTTTTTACTTTTTCGTGTTCGCATGATTAATTTTATTATTGATGAAGCTTGCCCTTTTTCTTCATGCACATTCAACAAAATTAATTTTAATTTATATTTTATTGTTTGGTTGGAGCGTTTTAAATC